ACTCATAAGCAGAAGCAGCAAACATGTAAACCACAGCAGCTTTCTGGAGAAGTGATAAAGCAGAAAATCCAAATACTTCAGCTGCCCAGACAACTTTTGAGATTCCAGGTTAGTTAATCTGTAACTCTGCTGTTTGTAGTGCTGCTCACAGCAGCAACGTTTCACTGTAACTTTAAAATCAGAATCTTTCATTTGAAATTCATTTTCTGAAGAGCTAACAAAAAAAAAAAGCTGTGGAAAGAATGGCACCATCTGGGGCTGCCCACATAAAACACCTTTAGCACATATCAGAACAAACATTTTGACCTGATTCTGCAGAAAGCTGAGGAGGAATCAGTTTATTTTCCCCYAGGCGGACACATCTCATGTACTTAATTCCCAAACATTTTCATACTTTTTTATTGCAGCCATTRCAAGTGGTTTCTGTCGTTTCAATTTGCTTTTCCAAGTCCAGAGCTCTGCTCCCAGGTGACAGGGTGCTGCGGCACACCCCACAGACTGGCTTTTTGGGCTTCAGACATTCCTGCAGGCACGGCGTGCAGAAGCTGTGGKGGCAGAAAGAGAGGAAGTGGTGAGACAGCCCTCTGGGCACCAGCAGTGCCCGCTGCCCTTGCGTGGCTGAGGGAGTAACCGAGTCTTGAAATTGGATAAAGAASGGTAAAGAGGGGCTGCTGGCACCTGGGCACAAAGGGAGGAAGCAGAGGATCCCAGGCTGCCATGCTCAGCATTGTTTGCTGTTAGATTGTGCTCTGTGCCCTCGGTTTTTGCACAGAATCATGGAATGGTTTGGGTTGGACGGGCCTTTAAAGCTCATCCAGTGCCACCCCTGCCATGACAGGGACACCTCCTATTGTCCCAGGTCACTGCCATCCCCAATGTCCAGCCTGGCCTTGGCACTGCCAGGGATGCAGGAGCAGCCACAGCTGCTCTGGGCACCCTGTGCCAGGCCTGCCCACCCTCACAGGAACAATTCCATCCCAACATCCCACCTAAACCTGCCCTCTGACAGCGTGAGCCATTCCCCCTTGTCCTGTCACTCCATGCCCTCATTCCTCAGGAGGGACGGGAAGCGAAAGTGAACCAACACTACCTTTCTTTCCCCTTCGCTTTGCTTTCCTTTCCCTTCCTTTTACCCCTTTCCCCGCCGCTCCCGGTGACCCCGCGGGCGGTGTGCGAGCGCTGCCCTCAGCCCCTCCGCGGCCCCGCACCCCCGGGCCCGGCCCAGCCCCCCTCCCGTCCCCTCCCCGTCCCGTCCCCGTCCCGTCCCGGCGCGGCGCGGGCGCTCACACGTGTCCGCAGGGGACGCGCACCGGGCTCTCGAACACCTCCAGGCACACGGGGCAGGTGAGGCGGGACAGCGGGTCCGGCCGCCGCTCTGAGGGCCGCGACGAACCGCCCGCCGCCATCTTCCACCGCCGCCAGGGGGCGGCACTGCGCACGCGCGGCCCCGCCCGAGCCCCGCCCCGAGGTGTGAGGGGATGGACCGGGGCGGGATGGACCGAGCGGGGCGGGACCGGGCGGGGCGGGATGTGCCGGGCGGGGGGATGGACCGGGCGGGCGGGACCGCCGGGGGCGCGGCGGCATCCCCGGGGCAGCCACCGGCAGCTGCCGAGCTCGGCAGGCTCCGCTGCGGTGCCAGCGGCGCTCCGGGCGCGGTGATGGGCTAGGCCCGGTCGCTCACGGCTCCGCACACCGTGTCCCAGCCGCGCCATTCCCGGTGCGCGCTCCCGGTGCGGGACCGCCCCCCAAGCCCCGCCCCATGACGTCACGAGGCGGAAGTGCTCCCGCCCCGCCGTTCGCTTCCGGGCCGCGCTGCCGCCGCTGCGGCCCTGCCCGAGCCGTGAGGGTGTGCGCTCTGCCGGGCCTCACCGGCTCTGCCGGGCCTCACCGGGTCTGCCGGGCCAGCGCCTCGGGCACGCGGGGCGGCATCCCGGGCACCGGGCGTTCCCAGCGGAGCGGTGGCGGAGCGGAGCGGTGAGGGACGGGACAGGCCGCCGGGCGGGGGCTTAGCCCGGGCGGGTGGGCCGGCGGTGGGGCGGCGGGGAGGATGGGGCGGTGGGAGCTCCCGGGGTCGGTGTCTCCGCTTCCGCGAGGCCCAGGCGGTGTCCCGAGGCTCCTCGACCCGGCTCTGCAACAAGTGTCCGCGGGCACGGAGCGGCCCCAGCGCCGCCCG